GACAGACAGCGACACGACGAGAGACGAGCGACAGCAGCAGAGAGAGAGAGAGAGAGAGANAGAGAGAAGAGAGAGAGGAGGAGAGAGAGAGAGAGAGAGAGAGAGAAGGGGGGGGGGGGGAGACCTTGGAGGTCTTAGGTGGGCGATGCTTGGTCCCCATGGGTTTCTGCATTAGAAACCAAACAAGAAAAAGGCCAGTTCAGATCAAGCCAAATAATCAAAAACCCAAAAATTTACAGGTCTCCAAACCATGCACCCACCATTCTCTTCCTCATATTAGAGGCATTAGATTCAGAAGGAGAAACTGAAGCAGCTCCTCCTGGAGAAGGAGAAGTTGAAGACTGGCGATGGATATGGTCGGAAACCACACCACCTCCTCCTCCACACCCTGAGGCCCAAGTCTCATGTGACCTCTTAATACATGCTGCAACAAGAACATAGAAAGTTTTAGAGAAAGAAAGATCAGAAGCTCGGAATCGGATGAAAAGAAGAAGTGGAGTAGGTAGAGAAGTGATGGTGTTTTTACCAGACCGAGCCTTTCGGGGTACAGGAACGCCAATCATCTCATCGGGGACCTTCCATTGAGGCTTTGAGATCTTTGCTGGTTTCCTGTGACTTGATGGAATTCTCACTGTCTCATCTTCCTCGTCATCTTCTTCTTCATCTAAGCTTTCATCTGTGCTCTCATCTCCTCCTTCCTCTCTGTTACCCTGTAACCTCTCAGCCCTTCTTCGCTTGCTCCTGCTTGGCCTCTCCTTCTTATTAGGCCTCTCTCTAAGCCTTGACTCTTGCATCTCACTCATACCCTCTTCCTCTGCATCTCAAATGCAAACACCACAAAAAATCAGTACGAGAGAAGAGCCAACATCTACAAACTCCCCTCTGCATCTCAAAAAAAAAAAAACCATTAAAAATCGGAGAAAAAAAAAGGTTGGAAAATCCAAATTTAAAACCCCTGAAAACTCTCTCGCCCACTCCTCCTAACTATTAAAGGAAAAGGTACCATCAAAATAGAAAGAAAGAAACAGAAGAAAACCCAAATTTACAGATTCCTGAAACTCTCTCATCCCCTTTTCCTCTGCAACTCAAAAGAAGAAAACCCATCAATAGTCAGAAGAAAAATTCAAGAAAACCCCACAATTGGAAATCTCTCACCCCCATCTCTGCAACTCCAGAAATTTTTTTGAAAAATCACGAAAAAGAAGAAGAGAAAAAGCAAATTCACAAGAAGGTCAATTCTTTCAAGCCATAAGCTCGAAGCAGAGAGCTCTAGACCTGGAGAGTCTCTGAAACCACTTCGCGGCCTTCTTCTTGAAGATCCATTAACAGATAAGTCCATCTTCCGCCTCGTCTCTCTGCTTCGATCCATCTTATTCGATCCAAGCCCTCAAATCAGGCATCTGATCAACATCCGCTTTTCATATACCTCCCTCACGGCCAGATCTCTGAACGCAACTCTCTCCATAATTCCCCTTTTCTCTCTCTAACTCACCACCAAAAACCCACAAATTTACAACCTTCTGAGAAAAAAAAAAACTAAAAGACTCCTAATCTCCCCTCTCTCTCTCTCTCTAGCCCAAGACTCT